GAAGGTCATCTATGCAACAGTAACAACAGTAAAGTACCACCACATAAGACGACATATAATTTTATGTGTTAAATAAATGACCTAAACTCGGTCATAAACAAAAACTTATTAATTATTGATAAAAAATTTTGTTAGTATTAAAATATTAGTTTGATCATATATCATAATTTAATTAATAATTCTAAATCTAAACTAAATGATAAATATATAATAGAATGAGTTAATATTTAAATATATATTAAAGAAAATTAATGCTCTTAAGTTCAAAATAGGTATTGAGATATAAATATTATAATATATTTAAAAATATTAAAACTAATGATTATATATAATAATAAACTAGTAATAATTAATGTAAATAATCTTTAACATATATAAATATTTTGCATTATTTTATTATATTTTTATAATTATTATAGTTTTGTGATAAAAATATTATTTTTCTTATTAACATATTTTATTAGTACATAAAAATTATTTAAATCAAATCAAAAACGAAACTATTATAGGCATGATTGAATAATAAAATATATTTACAATATTTCAATTAAATTCTATATTTTAGTTTTTAGAATTAAAATTATTTTTATTTATTATTTTTATTTTAAATTAATATATATATATATATTTTTAAGACAATTAAAAATTATTTATTAAAAATATAAATAATTTTTAAATTTAAATAAAATAAATAATTTTAATAATAAAATTATTTTATTTTTAAAAACAAATTTACGTAAAAAATTACAAAATTTCCGTCGACAGGCTGGTTCTTAAGGTCCTTCCATCGCAAAGGACAACTCACGACAAAATCAAGCACAAACCGAATGTAAGCGACGAACTTACGAAACTGTAAAAACATTCCCAACCGAAAGCGAGCAGCGAATGAAATGACTGCAAATTCGTAAGCCAACGTAATAGGCGCCAACGTAATGATCAGCAACGTAATAATGAAGTTCCCGTACATGGGGCATGAGGCACCTACTTACGTAGGTAACGCAAAGTAAAAAAAAACTAGAAATGTATGAGGGGAAATTACAAGAGTGCAAAGTGGAACATGTTGCAAAAGGTGGAGCCTACATGCAAGCTTAGTATGTAAAAAAATTATGTAAAACTAAAAATTTATGTAGATATTTTCACTTAGAGACTGTTAAGTATAAAAATAATTTTAATTAAATTTTGAGGTACATTTCTATTAAATTTCAATAAAATTTAAGGAGAAAAAAAACATAACTTAAATCTTTAACTTAAAAACGATTTTCATAAATTTGAATAAAATCGAAATTAAAATGCAAATGTTTGCTAAAAGCAATTTATATATGCATATATGCATATATGGATATATTTCGAATAATTTCTATTTAATCTCACTACGGTTGTTGCTTTTTTCCTTTTATTTTTAAAGCATAAACCCTTGCCAAAGCACAAGCTCATGAACTCAGTTGTTTTCGTATGTGTATGAATGTGTGTGTGTGTGTGTGTGTGTAACGTTTGCAATTTCATTTGTACTGTTACTAGGCAAAATCTTATAGTTTTGTTGTATATTTGCTGCTTTTAGTTTTAGTTACTCTTGTTTTACATATAAAAATTGTACATAAAATGCATACATAAAATGTTGCCCATCCAATCAAATGCAATGTTGCAGTATGTAGTTGGAAATGTGCCATGTGCCATGTGGCATGTGGCATTTGGCATGTGGCATGTTGTACATAAGTAAAAGTAGTTGCACTTTACTTCTCCCACCTATGATGGGGCAGCATGCTTGCTGTCGTATAACATTTACATACTACATGCAAAATGCAAACATCAATACAAACACTAACAAACATTAACAAACACCAACAACAACAATACCAACAATAGCAACAAGAGTGACAACAACAGCTACAACAACAGTGGCAACAACATTTGTTGCTACTAACTATGTGCAATAAAAAGTTGCAGCAGTGCGCATTAAAGATTTGGTCAGATTATAACTGACTTGCTTGTCCATATTGCAACTTGCATCCCGTGCAAATTGTGTATTTGTAATATTTATATATTGGAGGCGGGGGGCAATGGTGTTGGCAGGCAGAAATGTACAGAAATATGACTTAGTTCGTCAAAATTCGTAAATGGAAGTTCGTTTATGAAATGCCAGCTTTTCATGCTGCAATGGCATAGTTACTAAGCCTGCAACATTTCCACTCTGTTATATATAATAACTACATAATAAAAAGGAAGTAAAGTTTTTAAATGCTAAAGTGCGTAGTGCAAGAGGTGGAGCACTACCAGTAGAGAAAATAAAAAAAATATCACTTGCAGTTGTGCAGTTGTTGCGGTTGCAGTTGCAGGAGCAACAAATTTTCACATATATTCAAAGTTCCAACAAGTCTCATACTGTGTAGCATAAAGTTCCAGCTAACATTAACATGCAAAAGCATACATGGTAAACTTACATTTAGCATAACACAAGGTCACTCAATTAGTAACTATTGCTTACTGTTATTAACAGAGTACGGTATCTCTTGTTGGCTAAATAGGAACATGAAAATATATTGTGTATAGAGCACTAATTGCCACGTGACATTGTTGCACTTGAGCTTGCTGGCAATGTATACAGAAATTTATGTATGTAGAATTTTTTTGCTGTTTGCAGCGAATTTATTTATCAAAACAAAACCAAAAGTGCGTTTCTACTCTTACTTTGTATGTGTTGGTGTATTTTGTGTATTGAGAGAAACACGTGCCGGGTTTTTAACAGTGATTTAACATGCACATATGCTTTTACATTTATGTAGTTTACTGAGCTATTAACTGATTTTGCTTTAAATTGTCAATACGAATTAAGTGCCACAAATACCAAAAGTTATACTCAACGATTTAAGTAAATAGATAGGTTGGATATGTGAAATAAAAAAAAAGTGTTTTTAATAAATTTATTGTGTTATTATTCTACACATACTCTGTTAAGTTGCACTGATATTATATGCAAAGAAATAAACAAGTATTTTTACGATTTTTTATTCTGTCATACATTAGCTTATTATCTGCATATACTTTGTATATGTAATATAGTTGATTTATAAGTCTTATATTAACCTATTAATTTCCTACAGTCTGTTTATGCCAAAATTGTGACTGTGAAAACACAAAAATTTCAAGTAAAGATACAGAGAGATATCTATAAGTCAGAGATATCAAATATAGATAGAGAAAGATATCTATAATACTTTAAAGACCACCATACTTATACTCTGTTTCTGATAAAACAGTGAAATATACTAATTACTTACTTAACTAAATGTCCACAACAATCCGTTACCGAGTTTCGGACTAACGCAGCATTTCTCTCCACTCCAGGTTTACCAGTTCACCAAGTACGATTAGTGCTTCCTCAATCTGATAACTATACCGAAGACACGATCTACCTTTACACTTTCCTCCTTCAAGCACCGTTTTAAATTGCTTTTTCGCTGGAGTGTCTTCATCCATTTTTACGACATGATCAAGCCACTGAAGACGCTGTATATTATTTCGCTGAACGACATACCTACATCAATGTTGTAAAAAAGCTTATGCAGCTCATGGTTCATTCGGCAGCGGTAGACGTCGCTAACTACTAGAGAACCAAATATCTAAAAAAGAATTTCTGTTTGGAAGCCCTTTAGTGCTGTTTTACCAATCTGTAATAACGATCATGCTTTACAGATTGGTAAGCCTAAATAGGTTGAGCGTACTATAGAGCGCAAGTTTTTTCTGTCGAGCGAGAGGTATACAACCCAATTGCATTCTAACCTCATAGTAGCAACTATTGGCTATGGTGGTTTGATCTCTGGGATGACTTCGTTATTTGTTGTCTGATCTCTTTTCATACCCTTCACAAGTTTTAATCTCTTAAAACCTTCTTATGTTATGTCTGTGTTTTCTCCATTCTTATTAATGTGGTGAGTAAGAACCTGAAATTTTGTGATATTCACTGCATTATCTTAACACTCATGAATGAAAACTTTGCTGATGTAGAGTTAGTCTATAAAGGTCATTTGTCCAACTGTCTTACACAGTTTATCTGAATCCAATTTCATTATTTTTTTATTTCGTTTTAAGTTACAAAATCCTTTTATCACTTGCCAAAAATCAGAATAGAAGAACATCGAAACGACAGAGAAAGAAATCAAAGCAAAATCCAAAAATAAACTTAAAAATAAAACATTTTGAAAGTTAAATGTGTGTGGAACCACACACACACATAAACCACGTTAAGTGCTTTTAGTGAACATCACAATAGGAAGTTTTTTATTGCTTAAAATTGTACACAGCTGATAATTGCACGCGTTGCAGCCACCTATACACACACATACATGCATGCGGGCTTTTAACATAATGAACAGATAATTAAGCGGTTGGCTTTGTGGGAGTCAAAAGCGAGGAAAACTACAAAAATGAGAGTAGATTTGTGGATATGCACAGCTGTTAGCATATTAACAGTACACTGATAAATAACAGTTTGTGTGTATACGTATGAATCTAGAAACATATGTGCTTTATGTAACTGTTAAATCATTTGGTTGCTGTCTATTTCCAAAAGAAAGCAAGCTAACAAATTTGCCGGCTTGCATTTGTGTTAGTGTAAAATTTTACGCTCTCTACTTTGAGCGACATAAGATATAGCATGTAACATTTCACAATTTGTGCTGACGCTGTTAAGTGTTAATAAAAGCTGAGCAATGTTGTTGCAGTATTAAGAATGGCAGTATGTAAGTATAAGCAGCGCAGTCGCTGACGAATGTGCCGAATGTACTATTTTAAATAGGTAGGAAATGCACAATACCGACGCAGCGCACAACATGATAAAGTAGTAGTAGTATAAGTTAAAATAGAAAATAGTAAATTCAGCTTTATTAAGCTGCACTGCCTATGTTAACGCTTTACCACTGCTACTGTTAACGTCGCTGTCACTGTTGTCATAAGGAAAAAGGGGTTATTGGGATTTAGCCGACATCCCGCTCATTTTGTGCATTATGCAAGTACATGGCGGCACAACTACAACACAACTTGTGTTGGCAACCAACATTATTGTCGGCTTGTTTCTAGTGCATGACAACAAATACAAGATTAACCATAAAAATAAAATGGTTAAGTTCAAAAACGTTGAGGCAAAAATAACAAAAAAAAATGTTGGGAATATGAGGAAAATTTTTCAAATGCAAAAACAAAAACAAAAACAAAACCAAAGAAAAAAGTTGAAATGCACAGGAGCAGCAACATGCCATGAAAATCAAACTAAACTGAAACTGCAACTGAAAAGGAAAATTCACAACGCAGTTTAGTCCTGTGCATATAGGAAGGTTTCCAGAAATCAGTTGTACGTGAACGTTCCTTTAGTAAGGACGCAACTGAACACATTAAATAAGTTGAAATTATTAAGTGATGTAGTCAATTTTAAAATAGTGAGTTAATTTTTGAAAAACCGCAACAATTAAATTTTTCACTAACTTTCTAGTGTTAAAATAATACGAATAAAATTCTCAATTTTGTTATAAAATTTTAATTTAAAACTTTTAAAATGAATTTGTTGTTGAAATCTTAAATATTTGAAATTATAACGTATAAAACTGACATTAAGTGCATTATTTAATATTTTAATCAAGTGCAGTGCTGCGTTGTACAAAAATTTTGTGCTGAATTTTAACTTAAATTATTTAGGATTATTTTTTTATTTCATATTAATATACCTAATTTTAGTATTATATTGTTTTTTATCTTAATTTAATATGAAAATGCATTTCTGTTTTGAACCGGAAGGCGCCTTTTACTGCTTTAGACCGCTTGTCTGCCGGTGCCTTTGCTTTTCTGTTAAACTTTACATTACCACAAAATGTAACTGTTATGTTGTAATATTAGTTTCTATAAATAAAACGTTGCCACTTCAACGAGCATTGTGGTCAGTAGTGCAAAAAAAAATGCATTCAAAGTTGTATTACACTTTGATTTGAGTTTTCTTTTATATATATATATTTTCAAAAAAAAGTTGCAAATTTCTGAATATATTTTATATTATATTGAAATTATTTTTAAAATATTAAAAGATAAAAATTGCTTTGTGGAAACAAGTCTTTGGAAGTTGAATTAAAAAATAATACTCTTCTTAATAAAATTCCTAAATTCTTTTCATAAAAATTACTTTAATTAAATAAATTAAATTCTTCTTTTAAAGAAACTTTGTCTAGTTCAAGAAATATTTCACAATGATCATTCCAAGATAAATACATTTATATATTTAAAGTATATATTTGATTTTTTACCAAAATTTAAAATTAAACTTATGGTTATATTTTAATTTAACAAAATCTAATACTAAAAATTATTATTACTGTTTTGTTAAAAATAGAAAAAAAATTGTTTTACACTGTTATTTATATTAACAATTATATTATATTATTAATATATACATTAAGACCGAAAAGTTTTCGGAAATTCTCATTTAAAATTCGCGCGCTGTATATTTTTCGATATTTTAAGTTTATGTAGTTTGGCAGCAATTAGGGACAATTACTATGCCAAAAATGAGCGCGATCTGTCAGACAGTTCGTTTACGGCAGCTGTTGAAACCAGTTCACCTCAGTAGTGCGTTGCGAAAAAACAATGGAAAAAAATATTGAACAAAGAGTTTGCATCAAATTT